GCAATAAGAGGGAGATCAGAAAGTATAAACGATGCACCAAACAACAAGAATTACCATCATACAGATCAAGGATGATGCTCTAAACTATACTTAAATTTTATTTGTCTTTTTCTGACCTTTGCGCAAACCCATTGCAACATATATCCACCGAGAGCAGAAGAGATCCCCGCCAACCGCTGTGAATCACCAACCCATCCCCGAGTCCTTATCATTTCCCCATCTAGACTCTAACCATGGCAATCCACTCGCCATGGGGACACTACATTCACCTAACGCGTATCCTCTCTCGTCAGAGGGAACGCCGATCATCCAATAAGCGGTTCACCAACACTTATTCAGATGAGGGAGAAACAGAAATCCCTCAGAAATAACGGTCAAACGGATTTTTTTCATTTTTTACGCTTGCTTATTTCATGCTCACCCCAATTTTCTATGCTTTTCATATGCATGTTACATGTTCAATGTGATTATATTCAGCTTGCCAGAGGTTCCATAACCCATCTAACCGATAACTTATATCCGACCCAAAGGCTCATTTCATGTATCCAGCCCAAAGGCTCATTTCACTCGAACTTGACCTTCAAGTCATCCTCTTAAACCAAGATCCACTAGAATAACCTTTTTCACTATTATCAAGGTAAGGCGAAGGGTCAAACCTACATGCAACTTCTAATTTTTGTGCATTATGCTCAATATTTCTATGATTAAATAATATCAAATACTGTGAAGACATTACAGGTCAAATCAACAAGTCAACCATGCAAAACATCACTTTACACAAGGTTTCATGCATCTCAATCATGTAACAGACTCTCATGCATCATGCCTCGGTTCAGAACCCGGTGGGGGGTGGGTCCAACTCTTTTGTCAAAAATCCATTATCTTCATACTTGACCTTTGGGATATTTCTCAAAGCCGAGGCTCCTCAAAATATCCCTCTCTGCTCTTACTAAGAGTAAGGCAAAGGATCAATACCCATAAAAATTCTACTTTTGTCACTCGTTCAAAACAAAATATAAAATCACCAAATAATTTGTCAACCAACACAAGTCAAAATATGTCACCAAATAAGCATTAATATTATCTTACGTTATCCTTACTTTGTTTATCTAAAAAGAGCACTTAGAGGCATATAAATAAATACTAAGGAATCTCTTACCATAACTGGATTGACTTAACCTTTTGATAGCGAATGAAGAGCTTCTAGAAATCCACCGAACGAGTTTGTGAAACTCCAAACTTTTCCTTTCTTTCTTACTCCTTACTTTTCTCAAAAGTTTCTCCTCTTTCTTTCTCCAAGATTGGAAAATGAAGATGTAAAAATGGTGAGGAGGAAATGGAGAGGAAAGGATTTAAATAGAAAAAAGAAAGGTCAGATTTGCGCCATTTGGCACACATCGGCGAAATGGAGTGAAGAGGTGGACTTGGGGCCTACCAAGCATGGCCAAAAGAAGAAAAGAAAGGCCAAACATGGCCTTTGACTGACGGGACAAGGTTATCCCGTTGGTGACAGTGCACTGCAGCTGTGTGCGTGCGCAGGCAGCCACGCCGTGCACTGTGCTCGCACAGTCTGCTTGCCGCGCGCGCAGGCGTGCTATGCTGCACACTGTGCGCAACCTTGCTGCGCAGGCGTGTTATGCTGCGCACTGTGCGCAACTTTGCCGCACAGGTGTGTTATGCTGCGCACTGTGTGCAACCTTGCCGCGCGCCCGTGCGGGCTATCCGCAGTCGCGGACCATGGTCCAACTTTTCCTGAGCCCTTTTTTTTGCGGAAAACTAATTAAAATAAAAAAGGCTCGTAACTTCAACGAAAATTTCATATGGCAGTAGGTCGGAAATATCATAGTTTTGAAATCCGTTAATCATCAAAAGTCGGGGTGTTATAGTTCTCATTGCAGAGGTTGAAGAAGCTAAGAACGTCAGGGAGTTTAGACCTATTGGTCTTGTGGGTTGCAGTACAAGTTGATAGCGAAGGTATTGGCTAGGACAATGGCCAAGTTATTGGGTCAGGTTATTGGGAGATGTCAACATGCTTTTGTGGAGGGTAGGCAAATATTGGATGCTGTTATGGTGGTCATGGAAAGGATTGATGATATGATAAGCAACAAGAGAGATGGGGTTTTGTGTAAACTTGATATGGAAAAAGCATAAGATCATGTTGAGATTTTCTTGATTACATGCTGGATAAAGCTAGTTTTGGACAAAAATGGAGAAAATAGATAAACATGTGCGTTTCTTCACCTTCTTTCGCTGTGAAATACGTAGAAGTAAACATCACAAGTTTTATCTAGAAGTTTTACTTCCAATATAAGCTCCCCAAGGAGATAAGGTTAATAAAATAAATGACACAAGAATCATATTTCACCTAACCTTATCTCTACAGGGAGCCTACATTGGAAATAAGAATACAAATTTCCTGGCTAACTTACCCTACCACCTTAGTCACACATTCCAACATCACCACGACAAGAAAGCCCTGAACACACATCAAAGAACTCACCTACTCAAGAGACTATATCTAACCCTGGATTCACTCAAGTATATATGAGGAAGAATCCGAGTTCTAAGCCTAAGTTGATCCAAGCATCTAAACTTGATTCTCAAGTTGAGTAAGTCCTAAAAACTCTACACAGTCTAATAATGATATGTGTACTACACTTTGTAAAGATACAAGGAAATGGCACTAAACGTCATCTTTATCCTATCTCACACTTTATGCAATTTGATAAGTACTCAGCTTCCTAAAAATTTCCTTACAAGTTTGAATAATGAGTCTATTCTCAACATTATATTTTAAGCAACTTATTTTTTAAATAAACATTGTATCTTAGGCATTATCTTGTGAGAAATGGAAAAATACTAGTGAATTTAGAAATGCAGGCATTAGAGAAGAACCAGACGTGAGAAATAGTAGAACTACCCAAAAAAAAAGAACATGTGGGATACAAATGGGTGTTTGCAATTAAATATAATGCAGATGAGACAATCTGCAAATATAAAGCAAGATTGATAGCAAAGGACAATACATAAACTTGTGGGATAGATTATCAAGAAACATTCGCACCAATAACCAAGATGAACAATGTGCAGATTTTTTTGTCCTTGACTGTCCACTTTGACTGACAACTACAATTCAATGTGAAGAATGTCTTTATATATGGAGATCTATAAGCAGGTTCAGAGAGACTACAGTTTATTTATCTAGCACTCAGAGACAAGAGGAGTTACAATTTTTCTAATATATGTTGATGATATTATTACAACACGAGATGATGAAAAAGAGAAATTGATGCTAAGGTAATGTCTGGCAAGAGAGTTCGAAACTAAAGAGTTATGCAAGTTGAAGTATTTCCTTTGAATTGAACTCATTCGCTCCAAATCCAGAGTATTCGTCTCTTAGTAGAAATATACTCATAACTTATTAAAAGATATTGGCAAACTACCATGTAACCAGCTAATATGCCTATTTATCCCAATCATAAATTCAAAATGACAAAAGAAGATACCTCAATAGATAAGGAGATATATCAGAGATTAGTTAGGAACTAATATACTTGTCCAAAACAATACCATATTATTTATGCAATAAGTATTATAAATCAGTTCATCCACAGCCCTAAAGAAGTATACCTACAGGTAGCCAACAAAGCGCTGCATCACCTAAAAAGGTCATTGGGAAGGGGATCTTATTCAGGAAAAGTGATAAATTTGTCCTAAAAGCTTATATGAATGCAAGTTATGTGGGATTGGCAGTAAATATAAGATCTACCATATGTTACTATACTTATCTTGAGGTAACTAAGAGGTAAGTGTCTATCAATCTCAATTTGCTTGCTCTAATCATATTGTACCGGATTCTATGCGATACTTATGGCTGATTTTTTATCATAGTATAAATGCATAGAGGTCTCCCACTTGATTCTCAAATCTTCTAAACTTCTTAATCATAATAGTTCACATATTCTTCGGGCCATTGTTTGAAATTATAATTTTGCACTTTTTCTAACAACTATATTCTGCATAACAACCTAATACGCACTCTACATATGCCTACTAGTTCAAAACTAAC